TTTGATGTATAACCCCATTGATCCTCATGACCAATCTCTTAGATAAACAGCACTGTTCATATTTTTCTGCATGAAGAAAAGTGAGGGTCAGAGAGATTGAATCCTTAAGGTTAAGAACTTTGGGGCCGGGGAGATGGCTCAGTAGAATAAGCGCTTGCCTGGCAAGCACAAGCACCTGAGTTCAATCTCCGGTTCCGCCAAAAATTAAAAAAAAAAAAGAACTTTAAGGCAGTTGCTAGGCTTAAGATGCAGGTCTCTGCAATCATTGCTTATTTCACTTTCTGTTATATCATGGTGTTTTGGAAATTGAATGTATATAGGGACAGAGATGCTAATAGTTGAGTTGTGCTATTTACTAACATAAATGTATTTAATATACAACTTTTAAAGTATCATTTGAAATTCTTCCTATGTAGAAGATTTGGAGGCACTTTCATTCAATAGGGTCTTTCTTTTTTTTTTTCTTCTTTTTTGAGACAGGGTCTTGCTATGTAACCCAGGCTGGCCTTGAACTCATTATGTAGCCGAGGCTGGCTTTGAATTCACAGCGATCCTCCTGCTTTAACCTCCCAAGTACTGGGATTATATGTGTGCGCCACCATACTTGACTGGACCAAGTGATTTTAAACATTTTTTTTTTTTTTTTAACTATTAAATGGTATTTTGCTATGTTGCTCACGCTGGTGCGAAGCTCTTGGGCTCAAGCCATCTTCCCACCTCACTCTTCCCAGTAGTTGGGATTAGGTATGTGCCGCTTCTCCCAGCCAGATAATCCCTTTACTGCTAGATACCAGTAGTACTCCTGCATACTTGAATGACAATGGTAGTAATAAAAAGTATCTGTAAAAGTTGGTATATGCTCCCTAAGAGACAGAAATGCCCTAGTTGAAAACCACTGTCATAGAAGAAGAACATTTTGGGAGAGGAAAAAGGAGGAGATAATTGTGACATGGTTGAAAACACACAAGTGAAACTTACAAAAGTAAGTCCAGAGCAAAAACTGATATGGAAATAACTATGAAGTGGTATTTATTTTCCCAGAAGGAAAAAAGTGCATAATAACAAGAAAAAGAAGAAAAGAGGGCTAGGAACAGAGTAAGGGAAACCTAGTAGCTAAAGAAGAGTGAGAGATTGAGAGAAATAGCAGTTAAGACGCTGATTTAATGATAATAAATTCTTGAAACTTTAAAAAAAAATTACGATATACTCGCCATACAAATAATTGAGAATTATTAACGGGAGTAATAAAATTTGGCTCTGGGCTTTTATCAGTTTTGCTATTTTAATTTGTCATGTCTTATTGCCCCCAGATGTGCCTTTTAAAAGATACTTTATCATGAGACATAGTGAAGTTTTTATAAAGAAAATAACTTTTATTTCAGGTTGCCGAGGTGCCCAAGTAGAAGAAATATGGAGTTTAGAACCTGAGAGTTTTGAAAAATTAAAGTAAGTAAAATTTTAGTTCTGTTAGACATACTCGATTATGCTTTGACAAACTTAAAAGATAGTTAGATCTGTGTTTATTTTACATGAATATCCAAGGCTAAGTATATTATTTTCTTTAAGTCTTTTAGTCCTATGAGGTAGGTATTCTAGTTTTATAGCCAAGAACCTGAGGCTCCTAGATATGTAACTTGCAGGAGATTCAACTTTAAGTTTCTAGGCAAGGGAGATAGCTCAGCAGCATAAGCACCTGCCTGGCAAGTGCAGATCCTTAGTTCAATCCCCAATACAATATGAAAAAAACTCCCAAACCCCCAATTTTTGTACTTTTATTTCCACAGAATTGTGACTGGTGATGTTTTATAAAATGCACCATAAAAAACATGAATAATAGGTTAGTCTACAAAAGCATATCTAAGAAATACTGAATATTAATGGTAATTCAGAAAATTTTGGGGCTGGGGAGATAGCTCAGTAGAATAAGTGCTTGCCTGTCAAGCCCAAGGGCCTGAGTTCAATCCCCGGTTCTACCAAAAAAAGAAAAAAAGAAAATTTCATCCACGTATGTTGGTGTATGCCTGTAATCTCAGTACTCTGAGAGGCTTGGGCAAGTTGGACCCAGTCTAAAAATAAACAAGTGCCTGGAATGTTGCTGATTGGAAAGGCCCTCTCTTCAATTCCTAGTCCACAAAAATAAGTTATACATTATCGCATTGTTTCTTGGGAAGAGTACAATGCAAGTTCCAAATGTAGATGCCAGGGAGAATTTTCCCCTTCTTTCTCATTGTTGATCAGAATGACTTCTTAGGCCTCCTTTTTAACCCTCAGCCTCCATAACTTCAAGCATGGCCTTTAAATCTGCAAAAGGATTCTTAGAATTGGAGGGACAAGGTATAGGCTTTTAAAAGGGAAAATGGGGACTAAGGAAGAATGGTGACTATTTTCAGTAGTAATAAGGCGCTGATTTGCTTCTACATTTTCCCCACAAAAAAACCATTTTAGATAAAATCACTTCTGGCTGAGATTAGGGGAGGTTAAAAAGACAGTGTAACATTTAATCTGTGTGTAAAAGGATAGGTAGAGTGCTTGCCTAGCATGAGTTCATACTCTTTAACACTAAAAAATAAATTGTATAAAATAGAAAGGAAACATTTTTTGTTGAGGGAAAGGCAACTAAAGCACTGGAGGGAGGACAAAAGTAGTGATTTAACTTTTCAAGTGCCTCAGTGGTTCCATTAGGAATATGAATGATTTCACTATGCAGGAGGTGACTGCAGATGTTCTTACTGTATTTTGTACATATGAAGGTGACTGTCTTCATTTAATAAAATGCATGCTATCAGTTTATCTGTAAACATGCCACAGGAACTTTATGGATTTTGGATTTTAATCTAGCATTAGTAGCTTCTAGTTTTGCTATACTCTCAATGTTCTGGGTTTTTTTTTAATGATATAAATTTTTTTTCCCATAATTTTATTGATAAACAAATAGCAATGAGACAGTTTCAAATCAAATTGGTAGGACCAATGTTCTGTTTTTAAGTGAGGTGATACAAGGTACAAATGAATTGTATATGAATTTGAATTATAAAACTTTTATAATTCTATCTTGACTGATAGAGGTTTTAGTTTTATTAGTCGTTATGGCAACATTTTGGTAATGAATGACAGTAATTTTAAAATTTTCTTGTTTAGTTTATTTCATTTGCATTGTATTATATATTACCAGTGTATTGTAAAAGAATCATGTTTTGGTGTCACTAATTATTATTAATTACCTTTATTTGTAGGCCAGTTCATGGGTTAATTTTTCTTTTCAAGTGGCAGCCAGGAGAAGAACCAGCAGGCTCTGTGGTTCAAGACTCCAGACTTGATACAATATTTTTTGCTAAACAGGTATGGTCTGCTGAAAACTCAGGTGCCAAGAGACTTACTCTGTGTGTTTATAGTATAGCAGTCCTTAGACTTCTTTGTCTTAAAATGTCTTTACACTCTTAAAGATTATTTCTCCAAAACACTTTTTATTGGAGTGTCTAGCAATACTTACTAAATTAGACATTGAAACCAAAACATTTAAAAAATATGAAAACATTTTAAAATAACAATAAAGTTTTTATATATTATACTTTTTCGTTGGTGGTTATGGAACTGGGGTCTCATGCATGTAAGGCAAGCATTTTTTTGTTTTATGCCCAGGCAAAACGGTCATATATTTTAATGAAAAACAACTATCTACCAAAACCAAAAACATTTGTGAAAAGAGAATATTACTTTAAATATTTTCAGTCTCTTTAATGTCTGGCTTAACTACATAGTGAGACCATCTCAACTCCCCCTAAAAGAGTACTATATAAAGGAAAATGATGTTGGCATATGAATTTCTAGAGTCCCTTGATATTTTTCCATGTCTACATTATCCTTCTTTACTGTAATTTATTGTTTTATTATATTTTCTTGCTGGTATTAAGATGTCAGGTTACTAATTCCCCAGTAATACCATTTCGGTGTGTATGATGATAATTTTTAGTAAACAGACAGATTTATAATTCTTCAATAGTACCTGCAGTTTTTTAAATATATACCTCCTGGGCCAGGGATACAACTCAACAGCAAAAGTACCTGCTTGGCAGATGCAGGTCCTGAGTTTCATTCCAGGTACCAAAATAAATAATAAATAAATACCTCCTATGGGTCTGCCCTGGAAGGCATGTAGTATATATGTAATATATATGTAATAATTTGGTTTTGGTTTTAGCATTTCAAGAGTTTTTAGGCAAGAAGATAGCTTGGTGGTCTAAGCACCTGCCTGGCAAGTGCAAGAACCAGGGTTCAGTCCCCAGTACCACATGCCATGCTTGCCCCATCCCAAGCCAGTCACCGAAATGGGGCATGGTGGCTCACCCCTGTATTCCCAGTGCTGGGGAGGCTCAGACAGAAGGATCACTATGAGTCTGAGCTGTATAGTGAGACCCTGTACCAAATAAATAAGTAAATTTGAAGAAAAGAGCTTATACCAAAGATTTGCAACCCGGAGTGTCAGACTTTAAGGAATATTTTCAGAAATTAAAAAATTAGTCTAATTTATTTGTGATAAGGTAATACAGATTAAATGTATAATATAAACATGTAAGTGTATAGTATTAGTATTTATATGTAGAGTTGTATCAACTTAGATAACACAAGCCATCTTAAAATCATGTGCTGATTGGCGGTATATATATCACTGACTAATGAAACATCAAGGGCTAGAGGTATAACTTGGTGGTAGTATCTGGCATGTGCAAGACCCAGTGTAAGGGTTCAGAATGATAGTGTTTTTCTATTATACATTATGGTCTTGTTATCATTTCACTGATAGGAATGCTAATGTATTGTGATTTACTTAAGATTGTACTGCAGTGGTGCTAGATTTGTCTGACTACATCTGTTCAGTCATTCAGAAAGAATGATTGAGTACTCACAGTATGGAAAAGACAGTGACAGGTGCTTAAGGAAAAACTCATCATTCTTGCCCTCAAATATACATAGAATTTAGTGGAGAAGATTGATATTACCAATTAATGCAAAATTACAGTGGGTGTAAATACAGCATGAAATGAGAACTATGTTTAAAAGTTTGGGAACAATCCATTATGACTACTCTCATTTTGATCACTGACCTTTTAGTTTGGGATTCTCGAGACTACCCTCGGTCTTGATAGCAGTTGCACATTTGAGGAATGCTTGTTCACAAGAGCAATCAGACCTCATTGAAAGTTGTTATATTCAGTGATTTTGGTTTATTGCAGCAAAAGGGTGTAGATTGGTCAAGTAAAAGAAAAAGATACATGGGGCAGAATGCAGAAAAGTTCTGTTGTGGTACTTTTAATTGTTTCCTCCTAATAGTACCACGGATGATCCTAACTTTCCTGGCATTGTTGTCTGATAATAATAGAGTATTGCCCACCCAGAGAACCTCAAATGACTCTTGAAAGTTAGAGATTTGATTTGATTTCATTGTTTTATTTTATTTTTATGTTATTGTATTGTATTGTATTTTAATTTAATTTTATTTTATTGTCAAGAGTTTTTGTTGGGCTCCAGTCACATAGAACTGATCAGCCAGCCATGTGGCTGACCTCAGTCTTAGCTCTATGGGATACTGAGTTGATAATTTTGCCCCAGCTCCCCAGCCCCAGGTCAGACTGCTGGACTATCCGTGTGGCACAGCATCCCAAGATAACAGAGACTCTTTTTCTCAGGCATGACATTTTAAGGTCTATGAGAGGTCAGAGGGACAAACTTTTGGGACAAAGTTAAATTCTTAGTTATACTTGTAAAAATGTAACTTGACCTTGTTGGAGAGGTCTGAGAAAGCGCTTAGCTGAAATGTAAAGGTTAAGTAGGAATTAACTAGGGGAGAGTGATTGAGGATCATTTCAGATTAACATCAGCTTTATGACAAAAGGAAGTAAGACTAATAAAAGGCATTAGAAGGTCACTGAAACTGGAATTTATAGAGTACCAGGGAGATGCCATGAAGTAAAAAGCTGAATAAGTAGTATATATTATTTAGGATTAAGTATAATTAAGTTTAGAAAAGCAATGGGTTACATGTCCTAAAATTGCCAAAGTTGCTGCCTTCATTTTTTTCCCTCTGTGTATGTCTTCTATTCCAAAGGTTACTTCATGATTTGAGATAACTTTTGTAGTTTCAACTGTTCTACCTCAGTTTCATGTTCCAGACAGCAGAGAAAAGCACGTTCTCTTAACACTTATGGAAATTTTTTGAAATATACTCAAATCATATGCTTCCTTCTGTTTCACCAAAACTCAGTAATTTGGGTTATCAGCAACAGATGCTAGGAATGCTTTCTGCATTCTGGGTGGCCATGGGCACAGATAAGACTTTGGTAGTCTAATCTTATTTAGTAAGGACAACCTGGACATTGGAGAATAAATACAGTTGCCAGAGGTCAGAACATGCAGTGTATTTTAGTCCTATTGAGACTTCTATCTGTATTCTATGAATAATAGAAAGTTATTGAAGTGTTTTTAACCATGATATTGTTAGATTTGCATTTAGAAGAGATTTCTTTGGTTACAGTGTGAGGCATGCATTTGAAAAGTGGTATGAGATACAGTAGTTGATATTAATAGAAGGCTTAACAACAGCCCGGAAGTAGATATACATAAAAAACTGATTTAGGTGTAGTAATAGGAAGTAAGAGTTAACATCTTTAGTATGTAATGAATTGGATTTGAGAATGGAAGAAGGTGTATCAGAGATGTCTGTACTTTTCTTTATTCCTTAACATGCATTTAAAATAAACAGAATGAAACTTCAATAATCTTTGATTGATAATACACACAGAATCATTTGTTAAAGACATTTTCATTTCTCCAATATAGATTTTTGGGTTTTTTGTCCAGAATCAAATGGCTATAGTTAAGTTTGTTTCTTGTCCTTTATTCTAATTCTTTGGTCTGTGTGACTATTGTTTTTGTTTTTTAATCAATGCTTTGCTATTTTTGTTATGACGGCTTTGTAGTATCAATTTGAAGTCAGGTAGGGTGATGCTTCAAGGCCTGCTCTTTTTTTATTAGGATTGCTTTGCTATTTTGGGTCTTTTGAGCTTCCCTATAAATTTTAGGATTGCTTTTTTCTAGTTCTCTAAAGAATGTCACTGGAATTTTGATGGGGATTCCACTAAATCTATAAATTACTTTTGGTAGTATTATATTTTTACAGTGCTAATTCTGCTGTCCCATGAATATGGGTGATCTTTCCATCATCTTGTGTCTTACTATCTTTGTAGATGTCTTTTACCTTAGGTTGATTCCTAGATACGTTATATATATGTATATATATTATATATATATATAATATATTTATATATATTAAATATATAATATATATACATTTAAGTCTTTTTATTGGTACATTTTAGATATAATGATCACATACCTTATAGAGAATTTGTACCTATACCTGATGTAACTTGTTTTTTGTTCCCATTCCCTTATCCTCCCTTTAGTCCCTCCTCACCTCCCTACTTACAGAAGCTGTTTCCATGTTTTCTTTTTCTCATTTTTTTTTTTAAATTTTCTTTTTTCCTTTCTTCCTCCCCTCTTCCTTGTTTCCTCCCCATTTGAACATTTTCTTCTTACTTCACAATTCGTACTATACATTTTGGTCCTTATTTACACTTTCAGTTCCTCACAACTGAGAAACAATGCAGTGTTTACATATGTATGTCTGATTTATTTTGCATAAAAACATGGTCTCAAGATGCATCCATTTTCCTAGAAATGTCTCAGGTATATCTATTATGGTAGAGTAGTAGTCCATTGTATAAAAGACACCTCTTTTGTTCACCAGTTGATGGACATTTGGGTTGTTTCCAAGATTTGGCTATTATAAACTGTGTCACTATAAATGTGCATATGTTGCTGTGGTATGATGCTTTTAATTCTTTTGGGAATATCAAGAAGGAGAATAGCTGGGTTGAATGGGACCTCCAGTCCTAGTATTTTGAGGCATCTCCACATTGATTTTTCACAGTGGTTGCAACAATCTATATTCCCACCAATAGTGGAGAAGGTATGATGGTTTTGGTCTAGATGTCCCCCTAAAGCCTCATGCAGTCATGAGTTAGGCTTTTAGAGTTTGTGATTAATTCATTGATCCAGTGCTGGGATTACGGGTGTGAGTGCCCACCTGCCCTGGGATGGGCAACCTGAATGCAATATAAAGGAGGGAAAAAGGCCTGCTGTCTGCCACTGCTCTTGCTATTTAGCTGTTTTCCACCACCATGAACTACAGTCCTCTGCCGTGTGCCACTCTGCCTTGGAGTTAGCTGAGTATGAACTGAAACCTCCACAAACTGTGAGCTAAATGAACTTTTCCTTCCTTAATTTTGGGTGTTGGGTATTTTGTCTCAGCAACCAGAGGAATGTAACTTAGAATTGTTCCGTTTTCCCCGACAGCACTACCAGCATGTGTTATTAGTTGATTTCATGATAATAGCCATTCTTGCTGTAGTGAGATGGAATCTCAGTGTTGTTTTAATTTTCATATCTCTGATGACCAGTGATGTTGAACATTTTTCCATATACTTATTTGCCATTTGTGTTTCTTTATCTGAGAAGTATGGATTCATCTCAGATGCCCATTTTTGAACTGGGGCATTAAATTTGGTGCTCTGATTATTTTGAGTTTTTTTTATATTTTCTCAATAGTATTCTTCTGTGTGAGAAACAGTTGGTAAACATGTTTTCTCACACTGTGGGTTGTCTCTACTCTGTTGGTGATTTCTCTTGCAGTGCAAAAAACTTTTAATAAGATGAGATATTTACTGATTCCCTGTGATCATGATTTTGTTCATAAAGTCTTTACTACTCCAATGTCTTGAGTTTTACTTAATCTATCTTGTAGCAAAGTTAATGTTTCTGTTTTAATATTTAGATCTTTGATCCATTTCAACTTTAGTGCATGGTGCAGGATATGGGTCCAGGATATTTTAATCTTTGGCATGAGAAAAACCAGTTTTTGAATATTTTTATATCCATATGCACTGTAAGTGCTATTCCTCATATACAAAATGAGTTGTAATATATCATAGACGAAATTACTGTGGGCATCAAAAGAGAAATATCAGTAACTAGTTTTTATTTTACTTTTCTTTAAGAAATATCAACTTCCAGTGATGTTACAGACATCAATTACAGACTTAAATTCCTTAAATTATAGAAGTGTGTGATAGAATACTGGCTGTAGCATTGACTATCTTTGATATATCATGGTCTTGAAAGAATGTGTGAATAAGTGTAAATTTTAATTGTATTCCTATTGTCTCTATCCCCATACAGTTTCATTTCAGGTAATTTTGGCCCAACATAAGAGATTATAAAGTTTTTGAAAACCCCATTTATTATTTTAATTTTTTTTCATCTTTTTCCCCCCATAATTTTATTGAGAAATAAATAGCAATGAGACAGTTTCAAATCAAATTGGTAGGACAGTTCCAATAATTAACACATTGCATACTGCCATCCTAGTGTGAAAACCGCATTTATGATGGTTAAAGTAATTCATTGAAATTTACTAACCAACTGTGATTCAGATAAAAAATCTACATTGATAGATAGCAATAACAATCTTTTTTTTCAAATTTATTTTTATTCATTGATTGATCGATAGATTTGGTACAGGGCCTTGCTACACAGCTTGGATTCATAGTGATCCTCCTGTCTCAGTCTCCCCAGCACAGTGGGATTACAGATGTGCACCACCACAGCTGGTTTTAGTGGCCCACGTGGCGTACCTGGGGTTCCAGGATGGCACAGCATGTGGTTCCGAGGATCAAACACAGGTTCTTGTGCTTGCCTGGCAGGCACTTAGACTGCTGAGCTATCTCCGCAGCCCCAGCAATAACAATCTTAATTAGATTCTAGATCTCCCAGTACTCTAATTTATCAATTTTAGGAAGTACTTCAAAGAGAGGAATCACACAAGGGTAGTGGTATTATGTGTTAAAAATTAGGAGTAAAGGAGTAAAAAAAATTGTTAAATACTGTAGTTAACCTTCTGGCATTCACAGATTTTAGGTCCTTTCCAACTCTGGTTTTGTATCTGCCCTCAAAAGTGTAGAAGAAACTGTTGTCCATAAATTATAATCTTGTTTGAGAGCCTATATATACAGGGACAATCTAGTGTGATGGCTAAGTACAGGAGTTCTAGAAATCAGACTGTCTTTTGGTTAGGTGTCACCTTGTGTCTCTTCCTGCTTTAACTTCCACATATATAAGCAAGGCCATGGCTATTACTCCTTGGCTATTACTCCTTCATCATAGGTTGTTGAGAGGATGAAAAAAGGTAATATATATGAAGTAGTAGAAACTACTTGACAGAGATGCTATCTAAATTTTTCTCTTCTGACTAGAACGCAAGGGCACATAATTTGTTTAATGAACATTTAATAGCTAGATGACAACATTGTAAGGACTGTGATTTAAGAAAATGTGTGGATAATACATACCTTTCTTGCATATTCAAATGAGCATAGATATATTGCAGAACTTTGCTAACAGCCACATAGATGAGTTGAAATTTGTGCTGTGTCTGAAATTTGTGCTGTATAAATATGACTGAATTCAGTAGATAGAATAAATTTTTTAAAAAATGGGGAAAGCAATTTTTGTTAGATTAATTCAGCTGTGTTTTAGGTTAGGGTAATTGATCTTGTTACTTAAACTGGATTGGTTTTTTGATTTTTTTGTTTTTTTGTTTTTTTTTTTTTTTTGGTTTCATAAAATTGCCAATGTTAGAATTTCACCATGTTCTTGAAATTAGACTGGAATAGAAATTAAACATGTTTATTATGTGTCTACTAGAAGTATAAAATAAAATTTGAAAATAATAATGTTTTGAGTGTCATTGTTACCACTTAAATAGTTCCTTCAAGCAAATGGACACTGAGTTATTATTATGTTAGAGTTTTCTACAGTAACAGTCAATGGAAAATATATGCATAATTATTCAAGGGGATTTTATTAAGTAGACTTGCAGGATCAGGGACTGAGAGTCCATGATGGCTGTCTCCATGCTGGAGAGCTGAAAGATCCAGTAGCTAGTCAGCCCAAGATGGAAACCTCAGAACATGAACATTTGAGGATTTAGGCTGAAGGGCTAGATGCTCACTGGAGCATCACTGGTATGCATCTGTTAGAAGGCTGGAGACACTGGAGACCAGTACCCACAGGCAGTGATGACAGCTGGATCTCAACAAAAACAAAATATTTCTTTCCTTTTTCTCTATTCAGGCAACGGGATGGCCTACTTGTTGATACCACCCACCTCTGGGGTGCATCTTTTTCCTTCAGTTTATGAGAGTACATGTCACTTATTACAGATGTATCCAGCACTGTGCTTTACTAATCTGCTAGGTGTTTCTTAATTCATTGAGGTTGACATATCATGATTAACTCTCACATCTTCACTCTTATATTTTGTAGGTAATAAATAATGCTTGTGCTACTCAAGCCATTGTAAGTGTGTTACTGAACTGTACCCATCAAGATGTCCATTTAGGAGAAACATTATCAGAATTTAAAGAATTTTCACAAAGCTTTGATGCAGCTGTGAGTATATTCTTCTTCCCAATCCCAGATGACCTATTTGTGATAGCTCTTATTTTAACAGACTACTTTTTAAATTATTTCAGATGAAAGGTTTGGCATTGAGCAATTCAGATGTGATTCGACAAGTGCACAACAGTTTTGCCAGGTATGTAGGCTTTATTTTAAATAACAACTTTTTTTTTTTTTTTTTTTTTTTTGCTTTTCTCTAATTTTTTTTTTTCTTTACTGTAGACAACAAATGTTTGAATTTGATGCAAAGACGTCAGCCAAAGAAGAAGATGCTTTTCACTTTGTCAGTTATGTTCCTGTTAATGGAAGGTTGTATGAATTGGATGGATTAAGAGAAGGACCAATTGATTTGGGTAACCTGGTTCCTGTTTCTGTTATTTTTCATTTAGCAAGGGAAAAAAAGTTTGTTTTACACACAAGATTGCTTACATTTTAAAGGCAAAAATACTGTGAGGTATGATATGTAAGTCTCAGGTTTTATAATAAAACCAATGTAGGAAGGATATGTTTACTACAGTTGAATTTTCTATAGTGTATTAAATACATCTTTATATGCCATCTATATTTAAAATACTTATATTTCCATATTATTAAAAAACTAGTGGAATGTTTTTTCAGTTCTATAGAAAATGCTTTCCACCAGTTTGGTACTTAATATCATATCTACATGTTCTCTGTTGAATTCTCTGTGGTTAGCTATTTATTCACTTAAATCATTAAGCATAAAGAAGTAAAAGAATGCAGTGGCTAGTTTTACTATACAGCTGGTGGCTATGCTACAACTTATGAAAATAGGATTAAAACAGTAAAATTGATTTTGCATGATGAGTGGATTTTATTTTTTTATTTTATAGTTATGATTGTGGGAAATCAGACAAAATGTTGAAAAAATAAGGATTGAATTGACGTGTATGCTGTTTTTCTAAGCCTTTAGTTTTACCATCTGTGAAAGGAAAGTAGTCATCCTTATTTCAAGGATTATCCATTTAAGATAACTTCTTAATTTCTCTAAATATTTGCTAAGTATATACTAGGTGACATGATAATGTAATAATATAAATTATAATTCGCCTAACCCTTACCAAGAAAATAAGAATTGAAGCGTAATGTAATTGTTCTAAAAAGGTTTATACTGTCCTGAATTTATTAAAGCATTTCTAAAAAGGAATATTTTAGATCACACTTTTTTTTTCCCATAATTTTATTGAGAAACAAATAGCAATGAGACAGTTTCAAACCAAATTGGTAGGACAGTTTCAATAATTAACACATTGCATACACTCTTCCTAGTGGTTAATTGCTGTACAAGATGCGGACATGATATCCTATTTACAAACACCATTAGAACAGATCACTCTGTTCATTAAGAGAATGTAACTATATATCTATCCTAACCACTTTGAATACACAGATACAAAATGGACATTATTCTGTATCCCCTTTTTTTGTTAAGTTCCATCATTTAAATATTATAGGTGTGTAAACTCAGCAAAATATTCTAAAAGAGTTCAGTAGCCCATAATAGTATTGGGTCTTCCGCTTGACTGGCAATGTCAGAAATTGTTGACCTGAATCCCCCACAGCTCAACATAACAGCATGGCTTTACTTAGATCACACTTTTGAGAAATTGTTAATATTGATTTTTTAAAATTTTTGTTGTGACTTCTAAAATTTCTTTCTAGGTGCATGCAATCAAGATGACTGGATTAGTGCAGTAAGACCAGTGATAGAAAAAAGGATACAAAAGTAAATATTCCACCAAATTCATTGACATAACACTGTGGTTATTGTACATTTTGTTGTTAATGTTTTAACAGTGTGTATCAAAAATCTACTTTTTAAAAAACATTTAAGTTAAAGAGTATACTAATTGATAAGACATTAGAAACAGTACACATTTAGAAGACCAAGGTGAAAGGTATTTAGCCATGGATTCTTCTTCATCGTCTTCATGTTTTGGTACTGAGGATTGAACTCAAGAATTTGTGCTTGCCAGGCAGCAGTTATGCCATTAAGCCATCTCCCCAGTCCTAACCTAGGGTTTTGTATTACACACTGCTGTTCTCCGATGTAGTTTCTCAGTTGCAGATATCAGCATACAGAGTTAGTCAAGGTGAAAATTGTAAACATTAATTACTATTTTCAAAAAGACTTATGGAAATTGTGAGTACAGTCATCTCAGCCATCCTGTATATATACTTGCATGTTTTTCCCTCCTTTTTTCCTATCTTTTCTCCTTTCTCACATCTTCATTGTTTAATCCTTAAGTTCAGTTTCTTTACATTTTACTATACCTATTATATCTTCCAGGTTTTATTTATTCTTTCTGGTTCTTACAGTAGGGAGATGAATAAATCTACTTTTCATTAAGTTAATGCGTTCAGTAACTATTTCAGAAAAATGACTTTTATGTAAGAATATGACATACTAATATTAGAGAAATTAGATCTGTTGATCTACATTAAGAGTTTTTTTTTGCTACATATATTTTATGATTTTTTTAAGTTTCATTTTGTTTTTAAGGATTTTTAAAATATAAAATTCATCCTTTTTTAAAAAAAATAATTATATATTCACATTCAGTTGTAAAAATTATTATAAAGAAGTCATGTGTATTTTTGTCTTGGAATGGTACCTGTCTTGCAAATGATCATACAATGTCGCTGCCAGGTTATTGACATTATTGCCCTCTGATTTTCTTTTTTTCTTTCTTTCTTTCTTTCTTTCTTTCTTTCTTTCTTTCTTTCTTTTTTTTTTTTTGTAATTTAGGGAAGGATCTACAGGGTATTTAGGGTCTCACTACTAGATCGGACTCGTAATGATCTGCCTGTTTAGCCTTCCAAGAGCTGGGATTACAGGTGCTCCACCACGCCCAGTCTTTGCCCTCTGATTTCTCATGTTATATCCAGTGTCATTCCTCTGTAGATATGGCAGGGTTGCTTTGTTCTTCATCTTTAGTTTTCAGAAGTTTCACTTTAATGTCTCTTGTGTAAATTTCCTTGGTTTTATATTGCTTGGTGTTTGTTCAACTTCTTATCTCTGTTGGTTTATGTCCTGTCAAATCTGGGATATTTTCTTGGACTACTTCTCAACTTCACTCTCTTTTTCTCCTCCCTTTGTTATACGCCAAGGGCTTGGATGTTAGTTCTTTAGTTAGTTTCATAGATTGCTTGGTGCTATTTTTTTCAGTCTGTTTTCTTTTTTCAGATTATTTCTGTTGTTCTGTCTTCCTGTTCAGTGTTTCTTTCCTTGTGCTTTCCATTACATTGTTTAGATCATCTATTGAGTTATTTTGCTTATTGTATATATCAGTTGTAAAATTTCATTTTGGATTCTTTTCATATCTTCTGTTTTTTTGGTAAGACTGACTTTTTGCTTGTGTCTATTCATAACTGCTCATTGAATCATTTTCATAATGACCTTTTAAGATCTCTGTCAGACAGTTCTGCCATCTACCATCTTTTAGGCTGAGACCTTTATGATTTTTAAATATAATGAGTGTTTATTGACCAAAACTTGAACATACACACACACAACACACACACACACACACACATAATTTTTTCCTTGCTTTTTTGAAAGGTCTCACTGTGTAGTGCAGGCTGGCCTCGAACTTATGGTGATCTTCCTGCCCCAGCCTACTCTGGGATTACAGGAGTGTGCCACCATACCTGGTAGTATTAAATATTTAAATGTTCTGTTTTAACTTTTTAATAAACACTCTTGGCAGAGTAATTTGAGAGTGCTACTTCATTATTGCCGGGGAGAAGTTGAAGCCCATGTTTCCAATTTGGCTTCTGTTGACACTTAAGGGGGAAAGTGGTTCCCCGTTACTGCTGGACAGGGTGAGAGTTCTGGCTCCCAAGGGTTTCCACTGATACCACTCTGGCTAGGAGAGATAGGTGTGCCTTGTTACTGCTCTCCACATGTCCTCTACTGATTCTTAAGTGGGGCTTGGTGGCCTTGTCACTAGATGATAGTGACAGTTCTGGTCTCTGCTCATTGTTTTCTGATACTACAATTGTCTGTTGTTGTTGACACTTATTAGAGATGAAAAGCCCACATCCCTGTTCAGCCTTTTTCACAACAACACAGTTGTCTCATTGCAGCATAGTGAGGTGGGATATCTGGGTTCCGTGCTTCACCTTTTGCTGTGGGGTCAAAGTTTTTGTTTTTTTTTTTTTTTTTGTCTGACCACAGTAGAGTGATTTTTGTTTGAAGTTTTTTCTGTCTTTCCAGGCTCCTTCCTGTGCTGTTTTGCTAGAGAAAGCAGACCTTTTGTTGGGTATTTCTTGTTTGTTTGTTGACATGTCTGAATTGCTATCTTCAGCTTCAAAGCTAGCTAGGATTTATGTGGTAGAAAGAGAAACCAAGAATAGCCATGCAGTTCTTGGATCCTGATTTCTGTAGCTTGTCTGCCTTCTCTACGTTTGAAAATTTATTTATATTCATTCATTCATTCAAATTTTTTCTCTTTCTGTCTCTCCCTCCCCCTTCTTCCCTCTCCTTGTAATTTATTATGTCTGGAATTTTTAGCTGTACTTGATGTGAGGAATAAGTGCCATTTACATGTAACGAATAGTTTTCTAAGTGCCATTTCCTACCATAAACCAGCTGAAGCTATGAGATGTTTTACTGGTATCAAGTAGTGAAAAATTAAACTGCATTCAGAAGTTTTACTACAGGATATAATTATGCAAATATTTTACATATATAAGATAAAAATTTAAATGTATTCATTAAAATAGAAAGTATATCATGAATACTTTTTAAAAATATTTTCATTGAGAAACGAGACAGTTTCACAAGCAATTATAGTACATTTTCAATAATTAATACATTATATATTGTTGTCTTAGTGGTTATTCGTTGTACAAGATGCAGACCTGATATCCTGTCTCAAACACTACTAGAACAAACCTCTCTATTCATTGAATTAAGAGAATGGAGCTGTATTATCTATCCTAACTATTTTGAGTATACAGATACAAAATGGTCATTCATTTGTATCCCCATTTTTTGGTTTTGTCAGAGAAGGATGTTCCATTGTTATTGAAATACTGTAGGTATATGAATTCAGCAAAATATCCAAATATACTCCAATAGTCCCTAACAGTAGTGGGTTTTCCATAAGATTGTCAAATGTCCGAAGTTGTTGAGCATTTTATAGCTCATCATATTAATAAGGCTTTACTTTTTATATTTCATTTTCATACTTTTCTGCTGGATGGTTAAGACCAAGAAGGAGCAAGACCTATATAACAAGAAATGTAACTTTTGTATCTGATAAGGTCAGTCAGATCCCCTCAGGATTTAACCTGAAACCCTGTACCTCAGTTTGTAGATCCTTTGTCAGTGTCAGCTATATGGATGAGTCACGGCCATTGCTTGGTCAATGTGCTCTCTGTGAAAGCCTGAGAGAATGTTTTCCTTCCATGTGACTCTCCTTAGGCACACACTACATTGTCAGTCACTTTCCTCTGTGGCCCTAAGATCTCCTTGATCAGAAAATTTGGGACATAATTGAGTTATAGGATGTTACAGTACAGGGTCTTCTATTTCCTGAGTCCTTACTGACCTTGAAAGGCTAAAGCCAAAATGTTGGCTGTCCTTGTAGCCCTTCTTTTTCTTTAATTTTCGGTCTGCAAACTTAAGTTGTTAACCCTCCAGAAGAGAAGCTTAATGATATTATTGCCCTATAACACAGGCAGTTGAACTTAACCTCACTATCTGTCTGAATATCAGACATCTTAGACATAACATGGAACAGGTATTTCCCATCAAGTATTGGTATGTTAAACTTCAAGTCCCTCCAGAATACTGTGTTTATTATATAGTAAGGACTGGTTATCACCAAGTTGCCAGTATAATTAAAACACCAGAAGTAGACCTTAACTTTAATTCTATTTATGTCTTATGAAGCTAGGAAAAATGACGAAGATGTTATTTCAAATTTAGTATTTCAGGTGGTTAAGTGAAACTTAACATTTTAGAATGATGAAATTTATCCATTTACTTCTTTATTTAGAGATATGTCTAGCTACTGGCATATTGTTCATTCAGGTTGGCTTCCAGCTGTATGATCCTTCTGCCTCAGCCTTCTAAGTAGTACTTGAGACTATAGCACCAGACTTTTTTTTTTTGCAATAATTATTTTTTCTTTCCTATAAAAAAAGCTTTCTAAAATGTTAACTTTTATTGTTAACCAATTTATACATTTTTGTTTACTTCAAAGAATCATGGAGTAATCATAGTTGATGTTTAATAGCAATGATTTATAATTCTCTATTACATTATAAATTTTGTAATAACTTTTCTAGGTACAGTGAAGGTGAAATTCGATTTAATTTAATGGCCATTGTGTCTGACAGAAAAATGATATATGAACAGAAGATAGCAGAGTTGCAAAGACAACTTGCAGAGGTTTGTGGCTACATTTTAAAAACCATATTTAGTTCAGTTATTCTCTTAGAGAAAATCTTTTACTTTTTTTTTTTGAATATAGATTTGATTAGTAAGTGTTTCAAGTAAAAATTAACCCAATACAGTATATGCTGGATTCAGGCTGCCTGGATTTAACTCTTGTTTTTACTGTTTAGTGGATTTCTGTTTCTTCATGTAGCATGAAGGTAATATTTAATAGCATTTACCTTGTTAGGAGCATTAAATGAGACATTTAAAACAATGACTGATAAATCATAAATGTCAAATAAGTGGTAGCAGTGAACTATTTACTTACTACAATTTTTTTTATTATATACTTAAGTTAGAATGTTTTTCTAATTTAATTGGGTACATTTTGATTCACACACAATCTTTGCTCATTTTTTTTAATCTTTAGGTAGTAAATATGATTGGAAAAGAAATATAATAATAGACAAAATTCTTACTGTTCTTTGGTCACATTTTCTTAAAAGTACATATAAACAGATTTATCCTTTAGTAGATTATGGCAGTATGACACAATACAGGTTTTCTGTTTAGGTAAAAATTGAAACATGTTATTACAGAAACACAGAACTATGGAAGATACCATTTAAGTATTTTTTTTTTAAACATTGCTGTTTTTAGGCTAATATCTTGTTACCAACATTACTAGTAGAAATTTGAAATTAATTTTATTATTTTAATCATTTAAAAATCTTTTGGACGTAAACTTCAATCATTAGGGTGTGGTATTTTTCTTCCAAGGAGGAGCCCATGGATACAGATCAGGGAAATAATATGTTAAGTGCTATTCAGTCAGAAGTTGCCAAAAATCAGATGCTTATTGAAGAAGAAGTACAAAAATTAAAAAGATACAAGGTATGTTTTAAAATTTGTTCTTTTAATATTGTAATAAAAAGCAGGATATTCTGACATGAAAGTATGTTTAATATGTTATTTCTTTCCTATCATTTACCAGTTTTCAGGATAATGTGTTGATTTTCTGATACCCTACAAGTAGAAGTAGTATGACTTCCATTTATATATTTATTTATATTTTTTGCTTTGTTGGGGATTCAGCCCAGATCCTTGCCCTTGTTAGCTATTCTACCTCTGAGATATATCTCCAGCCCAAAATTTTTAATAGTTTTATAAAGAACAGATTTTTAGCAATTTGATGCTTTAATTCACCAGTTATTCTTCACTATGCTCGATTAACCTATCTTTGACCATTGGGAACCTTGTCAGGCTGTTTACTAAGTCTTTGATATACCACTTCTAGTTTTTTATAACTTCCTTGCTTTCTGGTATGACATGAGGTTTGAGACTCTTCTGACACGTTTCTTGCTTCAGACTTGCACTCAGCTGTAGTTTGAAGAAGTGCTGAATTTTCACAGTAGCAGGTTATTTCTCAAAACCATTATCTGGTTGCTGAGGCTGCTCAGTGCTTCTGATTATCATTTTTTCTAGGTCTTCTCAAAGGAACAAACGGGGGGCCAGGGAGATGGCTCAGTAGAATAAGTGCTTGCCTGGCAAGCTTAAGGGCCTGAGTTCAATCACCGGTTCTGCAAAAAAAAAAAAAAGGAAAAAACAGTTTTCTTTCTTGCCTTATTTTTGAAAAGAAAATACGAAGAGAATTCATGTTACTAATCAAAATTTGGATGAAAAGGTTTTCATACTTGAAGTTAAGAATTTGCATTTCTTAAACCTAAAAATTTTGGTTCCTACCAACTTTAGCTAAATATTTTTTGCTGTATGATATATATGCATAGTATGTATATATATTAAAAGGTTCAGATTTAATAATATTACCAGTAATGATAAAAATTCAATTTTTTTTGGTACCAGGGATTGAACTCAGGACCTTCCGCTTATCAGGCAGGTGCTTATGTTACTGAGCTATCTCCCTGTCCCAACAATTGAAGTTTTTTAAAGTTTGTTTTATTCCTTAGGATATGTCCTATTGTAGACATCCAGTGAAATCACAGTGTTTTAAATTTCTTTCTTCCTTCCTTCCTTCCTTTCTTTCTTTCTTTTTTTTTTTTTTTTTCGGTCTTTTCAGACAGTCTTGCTGTGTAGTTCAGGCTGGCCTCAAGTTTAGCAGTCCTCCTGCTTTGGCCTCCTGAGTGCTGGATTATAGACGTGCGCCACCATGCCCAGTTTAAATTTCACTTAGTTTTTTCTCTTGATTTTGCTTTTACATTTTTATGATTTAAAAAATTTCTTATTAAAGTTTTAGTTTTATTGGAGTCGGGGAGATAGCTCAGCAGCATAAGCACCTGCCTTACAAGTACAAGGTCCTGAGTTTGATGCCCAGTACCACAAAATAAATAAATAAATGTTCAGATAATCCAATCAGTTCCCAGAAAAGCCTCCTAAGTTTTAGTTTTATTAAACACATAATTCAGAGTCAAATATAAAGGTTCTTTTTAATAGTATCATTCTCCTTAACTTTCATTCTGTTCAAGGTTTTTCAGAGTGAAAAGAAGAGGCAACTTTGAATTTTATGTTTTAGATACAAACTTTGTTTTTTTTTTTTTTTTTAATTTTTAATTTGATACAGGATCTTACTATGCAGCTGGGACTTTACTGATTCTCCTGTTTTCAGCCTCCCCAGTGCTGGGATTACAGGCATGCACTACCATGCCTGGTCTTTTGGCCGGCTCAGCATGCCCATTGCTGTGGATGGCACTGTATATGGTGTCATGCGTGTTATAATAATAAAAAGATCCTTTTCATTTGAAGCTTAGTTGAAGGCAAAAATTGTCCTTTTCTGTTTGTGTATGTGTGTCTTTCTTTTTCTTTTTGAGACAGGGTCTTGCCATGCATTTCAGGCTGGCCTTGAACTCACTTTGAAGCCCAGGTTGGTCTAGGACTGGCAATTAATATACTGCTTCAGCCTCCCGACTGCTGGGATCATAGGCATGTGCTGCTATGCCCAGCTCCTTTTTCCTTTGTTGCCCACCAGTGGCAGTGTAGTGCCTTACGGTGTAATAGCCAACAAATGACTGTTACAGAAAATGAGTAGATTTTTTTCAGGTGGAAATAGCAGGAGTAGGCAAGTTCCAGACTATTCTAGAGAGAACAAAGGAAAAGCCAAGTTTATGGGGACAGGAAAGTAAGTGACAGTAGTTTTAACCATTATTTTCCATTTCACATAATATTTCAAAAACTCAGATTTCCCATTTTTCATACATTCTTATGCAGGATTGTTATATAATTAATTTTTAATGTCTACCCAAAATAAAACAAGTTCTTAGAATCTTTGTCTGCTATGTTGTTTGGCAGTGCTTTGTTTTAAAAACTGAAATAATTCTTATACTGATATAAAATGAATTAACTGTTAAAATTTAATACAATTAACTGTAAGCATCCACAGAGATGTCACAGCTAGTCCAAAAGGCACCTCAGAGAAGCTAAAATTTATGTGAAGTAGAATAATGTTGAAATGAATTTTTAAAAGATAAAAGCTATTAAAGAAGAGCATTCACTTGAATCTGTACCTGATAGAAGTCTTGGTCATTGCCATCATTGATGAAGTACTGGAATTGCATAAAAATATCTGAGTATTTTCTAAACAATGCAGTTTTCTATTGCAAGTAGATTATTTTCTGGCATCACTTTCCACAAAATAAAGCTGGTTTCTTTAGGCTTTGTCTGTTGTTTACATAGATATAGTAATTTATGTATGAATTTATCATGTAGACCTTAAGTTTTTAGTTTACATTTTCACAAATAATCTTAGGTTAGACTTTGAAAAGACTTTGCTGAATGCGCTAAAGCTGTGCACAAGAAACTCTCGCCATTTGTTTGGTTTTATTAGTCTTCATTCTCAATAGGAACAGAATCTCATTATTTCTAATATTTTTTTACTATGATAGTGAAGGATTTTATTCCATTCCTATATTTAATTGGATACAAAAGATAGCAGAAAATTAGTAGAAATGCAGTGCAATGTTTTGTTTTATTTCAGATTGAAAATATCAGAAGGAAGCATAATTATCTGCCTTTCATTATGGAGTTGTTAAAGACTTTAGCAGAACACCAGCAGTTAATACCACTTGTAGAAAAGGTAAGTATTCTGCTGTTGAGTATTCAAGATTTAGTTTCTCCAAAAACATGAAATATTTTATTTTGGCATGAGTGGAAATAAAATTTCTTGAAGCTTTTTTAGTTTTAGTTTTTGCTTTTACCTACTGTTACATTCCTGAAACTAGTTAATCCTAATACTACAAAATAAAAGTGCACTTGCCCAGAGCTGTAGCCTTACAAAGTTTCTAGTGTCTAGAATTCAGGTTGTTATATATTAAACTAAAATGTAAAACACTATCCTTTCTTTAAACAGTAGCAAATTTTTAATGTTAATTGAAATAAAGCCAGGTGTAGTGGCACACTCTTTTAATGCTAGTGCTTCAGTATTGTCCCCAGTTCGAGGCCAACCTGGACTACATAGTTCAAGGCCATTCTGGAAGACATAGCAAGATTCTGTCTCAGATATCCCCTTCCAAATGAATTTCTCCTATTTAGTTTGGCAAATAACTTGAAGGGGAAAAGAGTCTAGCCTAAGAAATAAAATTTCTTATTCCTTTTTTTTTCTTTTTTTGAGAAATGGTTTCAGAGTAGTACATGTTGGCCTTAAACTTGCGTATATAGCTCAGGCTGGTTTTGAACTCATGGGGATTCTCTTGCCTCAGTCTTCCAAGTTGGCAGGTGTGTTCTGCCATGCCTGGCAGTTTTCTTATTGCTAATGCAGTGTTCTTTCCACTGAGGTGTAATGAATATAAACTAAGGATGATTTTGACATTTGTGGAATAAATAAAATGCACATAAATTGTTCTGTAGTTTAAATCAGCTTTTTAAAAAATGATTGTAGCTGAATAAAGTACACCTTACGTGGCCCCTCCCAGAATATATTCTAATAAAGGAGAAGGAATCTTTAATAGTTCCCTCAAGTGATTCTAATGCAACTGATCTGTGTATTGCATTTTGAGAAACACTTTGCAAAGATAGTACTAGGTAAATAAAATTTTGGATCATTAAAGATCTGAATACATGGTAGGTATATATTTCTTATTGAGAGTTAACATAAAAAGATATGTTCCAACTCAGTTGTTTATAAATTTCAAATAATGAGGTTTTTTTTTTTTACCTTATTACCTGCAGCATGTGACTTTTAGCATTAAGTGCAAAAAATTGTAGAAAGCTGCTAAATCTTCTCTTTTTCCATGAAAGTCTTTGGCATTCATGCACCAAGGGTTTTCCAGAATTTGAAACTGATTTTTACAGTTTTAGATTAATAATAGGGTCCTATATAGGTTTTCAAAATTGCTAAGTTAACAGACTACTTAGACAAAACGTTGTTTGTTTTTTTTAAGAAACATTATACAATTTTGGTACTAGCCTTTCAAGGTCAGTGAAGACTCGGGACATAGGAGAACCTTTACTATAACAACATGTAACTCAGTTGTGCTCCAAATTTTCTGATCAAGAAAATTATGGAGCCACAGAGAAATGTGTTCGATTATGAAAAGTGAGCTTGGGGAGAGTCACATGGAGAGAAAAAACATTTTCTCAAGCTTTCACAGAGAGCAAATTGGTCAAGCAATGGCCGTGACTCATCCTCATGTCAGACACTTGACAAAAGGATGTACAAAAGGCGTACAGGGCTACAGGATAAATCCTGAGAGTACTTGACTGACCTTATCAGATACAAAAGTTACATTTCTTGTTATATAGGTCTTGCTATAACTTGGTCTTAACCATCCAGCAGAAAAGTATAAAAATGAGATATATAAAGTAAATCCATATTAATACGATGAGCTATAAAAGGCTCAAGTCAATAACTTCTGAGGATAACCCACTAATATTATAGACTGCTAGACAGTGTTAGATTGTGTAGTTGAATTCAAACACCTATAGTATTTAGCTGCCAATAGAATATTCACCTCTGACAGGACAAAAAAAAATTAAAATTAAAAAAAAAGATACAAAGGAAAGATCATTTTGTATTTATATATACAAAATAGGATAAATTTACAGCTACTTTCACCTAACTCAGTGAGAAGAAAGAGGTGTACTAACAGTGTTTGGACAGAATATCCTGTCTGCTTCTTGTACTATGGATAACCACTAAGAAGATAACAAGGTACAGTGTATTGACTATCAAAACTGTCCTGTTAATCAGCTGTGAAACTGTCTCATATTTATTTCTCAATAAAAAATAAATATAAAAAAAGAAACATTATGCATTATTTTGCTGTTAAAAATATTAAACAAGCTGGGCATAGTGGTGCATACTGGTAATTTCAGTAGTTAGGAGGCTAAAGCAGAGGGATCACTGTGAGGGTAAGGCCGGCCTAGGCTGCCTAGTGAGCTCAGGGCCAGCCTTAACTGAATAGCAACATCCCCCAAAATAAGTAAATAAAAAATAACATATGTACTAAGTCATGTGATAAATGTCACATTTTAATTTTATATAAATTTTATTAGGGACCCATACATGATTTTAAATGTATAAATTTTTTCTCAAAGTTAGTCTTTGAATAAAATTTTTTGTGCAAATTAGGAAAAGTTTTTTGTTTTTTCTTTGTTTTCATGATTGTGTGTCCCCAGAGCTAAGATTTTCAGCTTTACTTTTAGAACCATAGTTCTATGGTTCATCTTATTCTGGACACAAGGTGGCAGCAAATGATTAACTAAATAGTAATTGAAGTTGTTTTAGTTATTGTGTTTGCCTTTGTGTTTTTGAGGAAGCCAGTGTTTTGACTTTCTAGTTTGTCTATTTCTTGCAACTGTTAATACTACTATGTAAACATTATTGAGATAATTTTATTTCTTAAATATATGCAATATTTGTAATTCCTCATTTGGTTATAATTCTTAAAATGTTTTAAATTATTCATCAGTCATTTACCTAGTTGCAGCTATATTCCTAGCACTCTGTTAAGGTCTAGGAATATATACGTGATTATTAAAAATATAATAATTTCCTAACCAAAGTGATGGAGTTTGGAAAAGTAAAAAACAGTTATAGTACTGTACTGAATAGTGTTCTTTAATTAGTTAATCCGTGCTGGACTAAAATCATACTAAGGATTGTGGGTAAATACAGAGTAACTCCTAATTAACTTTATAGTCACTTAAAAGTTCATGTTCACAAAATTTTAATTTGTCAGCTTTAGGACAAATATATACATTTATTTTTATTTAGAAAAAATACCCCAATCCCGGGCATGCTGAGCCAGCCACTGAAACTGGGCTTGGTGACACATGCCTGTAATACCAATGCTGGAGAGAAGGGGAGGCGCTGAAAACAGGAGGAACACTATGACTCTGAGCTGTGTAGTGGGACCCAGTACCAAATACATAAAAAAAAGACATATTTTGAAAAAAATAGAATAAAATTTTCCTACTTTGAAAAGAAATACTGGTCACTTTCTCTTGATAAATACAAATGTTTAAACAGTAAGTTGAAAAGTGGATAGAATAAATGAAGGTTAGATTTTATAATCAGTAAAAAGCTATAGAGTATTAGTGACTGTTTAGTGCTAATACTTGTAAAAATTGTCTTGTAGTGTTCAGAAAATAGTTATTAATTGAATGCTTCTTTTTAAATGGAAAAGAGAATAATAGAACAAATTATTAAAGTGGTAGGAGGAACCGATAGGAAAGACATAGCTGGTATTAGCAGTGGTGTTGAATCCCAGACCCGTTCAAGATTAGATATTTTTAATAACTGAAGTATTATTCTACAACTTCTGGTGCCATAAAAATATTGGAGCTAAAATCCTTTCACTTCATATAATAGTAACAAAAGATAAAGACTTTGGTTCTCTCTTGAACATATGGCTGTTACAACTACACTAAGATCGTGCCAGCCAAATAGCTCAGCGGATTAAAGTGCCTGCAAGCAGGTGCAGGGTCCAGGGGTACCATCCCCGGGTTTGCCGTGCTGGCCCAGCCCCTGGGGCGTGCTGAGACAGCAATTGAGACTGGGCGTGGTGGCGCGCTAGTAGTCCCAGCTCTTGGAGGCGGTAAACAGGCAGATCACTACGAGTCCAGTCTAGTAGTGAGACCCTGAACACCCTGTAGACCCTTCCCTAAAATACAAAAAAGGGCCCAAAACAAAAACAAATTTCTTTTTATATAAAGATTGTAGATATTTCATAAAAACTCAGAAGTGACCCAAAAATAATTGTAAAGCGTTGTATATACCTCATCTGTTTCTTAAAAATGTAAAATAAAATGAACTAGAAACTTCTACTTTTTCAAGTACTCTTATAATTTTGAAAAAGTTTTATCTCAACCTATATGTATAATTCTGAATCATTCTGTCACCCAAGTTGTAAATAGGTACCTATAATATAAAACGTAAAATCATGAGTACAGTTGCCATGAGATTCCAGTCACTTTACAATATTGAATTTTGTTCTCAAAATTCAAGGTACTATTATTTACTTGGTGGTGGTGGTTACAGAATTATCTGACACATTGTTAATGTTTGCTATCTCTTTGGTACACTGTAAAAGGAAAACAATTTTTGGAGCCGGGAAGATAGCTCAGTAGAATAAGCGCTTTTCCTGGCAAGCACAAAGGCCTGAGTTCAATCCCGGGTTCCACCAAACCAAAA